TTACAAACTATTAGTAATATTAAGTAAATGTAACAAAAATGGAGTTGTGCTGGAAAAATGATTTTCAAACTAAACAATTATCTATTCTTGGGACTTCCCTGGTGGTCCAGTGGCTAAGAGTCTGTGCTCCCAATGGAGGAAGCCCAGGTTTCATCCCTGGTCAGCAAACTAGATCCCACATGCTGCAATTAAAGATCCCACATGCTGCAACTAAGACCCGGTGCAGCCAAATAAATTATAAATATTAAAAACAGATTATTCTTTATTGTAATCATCTTTTCTTAGTTTTTTCTTCTTTAAAACTTTACTGAACTACAACTGACAGATAAAAATTGCATATAGTTAAAGTGATGTTTTGATATATGTATACATTGTGAAACGCTGGCACAATCAAGCTAACTAACATATCCATCACTTCACATAGCTATGATTTTTTTGTGTGTGATGAGAAGACTTAAGGTCGTTTACCTTAGCAAATTTCAAGTATATAATATAGTACTATTAACTACTGTCACCATGCCATACATTAGCTCTCTAGGACTTATTCATTCTGCGTAATTGTAACTCTTGACCCTTTGACCAACATATCCCCATTTCCCCCATCTCTCACCTGATTTTTTACTTCATGCCCCCTTTTGGGCTCAAGTAATTTCCATATCACTTTTCTACTTCATTAGCTTCTGATTTTATGATTATAAATTAGCTGACTTTTAACATGAGAAATGACCATTGTTTTTTATTAAAAGTATTTTCAGCCAGACTTTCATCTTTGTGCACATATAAACACTTAACTAAAAAAACCATCTTTCCATATTTAAGTAATAAATATAATTTCTAAAAGTTAAAATAGAGAAAAAGAGCAACTAAATAAGCAATCCAAATAAAGTATAGTTTCTTGCTCACAGAATGAGAGGAAATATTTACAAATCATGTATCTGATAAGGGTCCAATAGCTATAATACATGAAGAACACTTACAACTCATCAATGAAAAGACAAACAACCTAATAAAAATAGATATTTCTCCAAAGAAGATATACAAACACACGAAAAGATGTTCAGTATCATTAGTCACTAGGAAATGCAAATCAAAACCACAATTAGATACCACTTCATATCTATCAGAACAGTTATAATTTTAAAAATAGAAAATCACAAGTATTAACAAGGATGTGGAGAGATTGAAATTCTTGTGCATTGTGGTAGGAAAGTAAAATGGTACAGTCACCGTAGAAAACAGTTGGGGAGTTCCTCAAAATTAAGCACAGAATTATCATATGACCCAGAAACTTCACTCCTAGGTACATATGGAGAGAACTGAAAATATATGTCCACAGAAACAACTTGTACATGAATCTTCAGAGCAGCATAAAAGCCAAAATTTATAACAGCCAAAAAGTAGAAATAACCCAAGGGTTCATTAGCTAATGAAGAGATAAACAAATTATATCATATCATATTATATTATGGCTCAGAGCTTCATTGAGTTACACAAGCCCCTTCACCATGACAAGGCTGTGATCCATGAAGGGGAATGAAATATTATTCAGCTGCAAAAGGAATGGAGTACTGATGCACGCTTAGATGAATGTATAGATGGATAAATAAAGGTTAAAAACATTATGCCAAATGAAAGAAGACAGTCATAAAAGGCCACGTATTGTATGGTTCCATCTATATGAAGTGTCCAGAATAGGAAAATCCAGAGAGACAAAAAGCAGATTAGTAGTTGTCTGTGGGTTAAAGGTAGGATGGGCACAGGGTTTCTCTTTGAGGTGATGAAAATGTTCTGGAATTAAGACAGTGATGATGGTTATACAATCTTGATGATGGTTATATAAAGAAGCAATGAATTGTAGACTTTTTTTTTTCCATTTATTTTTATTAGTTGGAGGCTAATTACTTTAGAATTGTAGACTTTAAAGAGTCTACTGTTACTCCTTATCTTCTGATTGTGAGAAAAAGAACCACAGCCAGGGGATTTCCCTGGTGGTCCAGTGGTTAAGAATCTGCCTTCCAAGGCAGAGGATGGGGGTTTGCTCCCTGTTCAGGGAACTAAGATCCCCCACGACAGGGGACAACTAAGCCTGCGTGCCCCAATGAAAATCCCGCATGCCACAACTAAGACTCGACGCAGCCAAGTAAATATATATAAAAAAAGAACCACAGGCAGGTTTACGTGGGAAATGAGTAATAAAGAAAGCGTTAAGAGAATGGGCTAGCTTTACCTGTGTGGGTTAGCTGTGTTGAAACTTCCTGCTGGAGTGAGGAATCTTGTTCTTCCACTGTTCTCCTAATAGAATTTTTTAACTTCTCGGCTCTTTGGGCACGCTGGAGAAAACAAAAGCAGCTCAGAAAAACAACTTTATGAAAAAGAAATAAATTTTTGTTAACAGCTTAAATAAAGAGCTGTCTTTATATACTTTGTGGCATTAACAGCAATTTGAGAGAATGTGATTTTACTTACTTGGAGGCGGGCCAATGTCTTGGTGTATTCCCTTTTCAGGAATGCTAATTTTTCTTTCAACTGGAAGAGGAAAAATACCAAACAAAACTGAGCAGGTGGAAAGAAGGCATTAGAGAGAAGGGATGCAGGGCCTGTTAGACACCAGGGTACAGAGGTCAGCAGGTGTCTCAGCTGGAGGTGGGGAGGAAGCGGCACTGCCTCACTCTACTTTCAGTTCTCACAAAACATCAAGTTCTCTAATGCATGTCTGCATAACTTGTTCTTATCACCTGGAGCAACTCTCCCCAACTTACTTTGCTAATTCCTACTGATTCCTCAAACCTTGGCTTAGATTTTTATTTCCCTGAGGGAAACTTCTAGGCAAGTTTCTAAACTAAGTCCTCCTCCAAATCCAAGTTAGGATTCCACCTCTCCTCTGTGCTTGCTTTATCACAGTACTTACTATACAGACTGTCTACTTCTCTGTTTCCTCCTACCTCACTGGGAGATCCTTGAAGGTAGCAGGGGCTATCATCCTCAGACAATCATTCAACTTATGAGTCAGTTATTCATCCAGGCATCTCCAGTACCGAGAACACTAACTGATGCCCACTATGTCAGTTATAGTTCCAGGTGCTACATCTACAGAGGGGTCAAGGCCACTGCTCTAGGCAGCTTACATACAGTGAGGGATACAGATAGTAAATAAGGAAACAAACAGATAAGATGACTTCATGTGGTAATCAATACCTAGACAAACAGAGTGATGGGAGGTGTCCGGGATACAGGAGAATAGACTACTTTAGAGACAGTGGCCAGGGAGGCATTTCTGAGGAATACCACATGAGCTCCGACTTGATGGAGGAAAGAGCTAGCTTTGGAAAGATCAGAGGGAAAGCAACTTGTCCAAGACCACACAATTTAAAACCAGCATGACTCAAACCATGCAGTCTGGCTGTAGGGTCTGTGCTCATAACCTCTTCTCACAGCTTAACCTCTTCTCACAGCTTATCACCACCCTTATCAACATCTGAGAATTACCTTGTTGATTTGTAAATGAACTTTTCCACCACCACTGCAAGGCATGCTGGGATGAGAGGACTGATGAGTTATGGCGAATGAAGAGTTTTAGCACCATGCTTGGAAGAGCCAGTGCAAGATACCTTCAAGTTAACACCACCAGTCAGTTCCCTGGTGGCTCAGTGGCTAAGACTTTGCCATCCCGATGCATCCGGCTGGGTTCCATCCCAGGTCAGGTAACTAGATCCCACATGCCCCAAGGAAGATAGAAGATCCCACGTGCCACAACTAAGAGGGGGGCCGCCAAATAAATATTTTGTAAAAACCACAATGTCTGCTGGAACAAGCACAAGGTGGCATGTATAAGGACAGTCAGAGCAGCACTGTCATAGAATCAAAACCTGCAAACAGAAGGCTCTCAGAAGAGAAACATATAAAGAAAAGATGCCACTTCCATTTGTAGGATACTATACAGAATTTAAAAAATAATTTGAAAAAAGGTAAGTAAACATGACGCGGGTTCCATCCCTCTGTTGGGAAGATCTCCTGGAGGAGGGCATGGCAACCTACTCCAGTATTAATGCCAGAAAATTTCCATGGACAGAGGAGACTCGAGGGCTACAGTCCAGGGGGTCGCAAAGAGTCGGACACGACAGAAGCGACTTAGCAGAAGCAGGAGCAAAGAAGAACTAACATGGACTTTAAACACGGAGAAGCAAAACGGAAGTTGCAGAACCATCTAGATCATACCATTTATGAACATTCACCTTCCCCAAAAATATATAATTACTCTTTGGTGATTAGAGAATACAAACACGCCCCTCCACACCTCCACCACCCGTCCGACTTGCACACAAAAATATCTTCAGTCCAGATAGTTGAGAGATTTACTTAACGGGGTGGGATGGGAGAAGCCAAAACTGAGAGTGTGCAGGGTGGAGTGGGGAAGATGTCAAAGGGGACCTTAGCTTTATCTACAGTTTTACATTTTGTACTTTTGCACTTCTGCTGTAAAGAAAATTTGTTCTTTAAACGCCACCAAGGGAGCACGGCGCTCTCCCACACTTTCACTTCCTGTGTCCCCTCACTCCAGAGAAAAGTGTAAGTTAGAGGTCACTGCCGCCCTTGGACGGTCGAAGGAAGCAAAGACAAGCCTAAAATCCTGGGATGGGGGTCAAAATCGGAGTCAACCCTTCCCGCATCCCCGGCACCTTTTCCTTCTCTTCACAGCTGAGGGTTTTCCCAGGAGGCTCTTCCATCTGGCTGGCGGCCAACAAAAAAGAGCATTCGTCGCTGGCCCCAGGCCTGCGGACAAAAACAGCCCGGCTGGCCCTGGGCCTCAAGGCACCCCGGGAAGGTTTGGGGAGCCCGGGATGCCCACAACACAAGGCCAGATCCCACGCCGGACGGGCGCGCCAACAAACCTGGCCAATCACAGCCGCCGCTCGGCCTGCGCACGCGCAGCCGGAGACGGCAGAGCAATGGAGTGAGGCTGCCTAGCGGAGAACCGAACTATGGATGATAGCTCCGGCCGGGCAGAGCGGAAGTGGTGGAGCCGCCGGAAGTTGCCTGAGTTCCAGTCAGAAAGACCGGCGGACAGACTTTGACAGGAGCCAGAGCCGCGCTTGGGAGTTGGTGGTCATGGAGTTGGGCGAGCTGCTCTACAACAAGTCGGAGTACATCGAAACGGTGCGCATGGCCAGGCATCTGCCCTCCCCTCTCCAAGCCCGCGTTCTCTGAGGCCTCCGTCCTGTCTCTGCCCCACCCCTGGTCCTTTCGGCATTTAGTCCGAGATTACCTAATGAGAGTTCATGTATAGTCTGGTTTTGTTATTTATTCCTTGCATGGCCAGTTTAGGCTTTTTTAGTTATTTCTGATTTCCTCGTAGAGATAAAATGCCTTCCAGAAAGCAGGACAAGTCTCATTCATTCTGATAATGATTACAAGCTCTGGGCTCCAGGCCTTGTAAAAAAAAAAAATTTGTTTTTTTTTTTTTTGTTAAACTAATGTGTGGAGATTTATTACTATGTGCTGAAGACTGTTATTAGTTTTTTTTAATAGTCAATACATGATGTGTGTAAATTGCTCGAAACGGGTTTGGTGCTCAATCAGCATTACTGTTATTTTTTCATTGAATTCTCACAGCTCTGTGCTATTGGTAAAGTCATTATCCTGGTTTTAGGTCTGTAAAACTGAAGTATGGAAATGAGACTCAATTCATGTCTGCTGCTGCTAGCCTATGTATGTATCACATACAACTTCTGGATCTGATCCTTGAATCCCTAGTTTCTGATTCATCCTTGCTTTTTTTATATTCTGGGCTCATCCCATTGCAGACCTTACCCATCTCAAGTCCTGTTCTCTGCAATATGAGCTTTCTTGGTGGAAATTTGGAGCCTAGAATCCACTCATTTTGCTCACCTCTCTTTTCTTTCAGGCATCTGGAAACAAAGTTAGTCGCCAGTCTGTATTGTGTGGAAGTCAGAACATTGTTCTTAATGGCAAGGTAAGGGACAGAGTCAGCTCCAAGATGCATATTTCTGCTTTCTTTCCACTCATTATCAAATCAGCAAGGCAGATGAAATGTTACCATGTCTCCTGTTTGTTGATGTACATTCTAAAGTTCTGTTTTAAAAAGAATTATCCAAATTAGATTTATTGGATACAAAAAAAGATTCAGTGAAGGGAGGCAGCAGAAAGCCTTTTTCCTGTTATTCCAGGAACAAAATACAATGGCACCCAGAACTGAAATTATTATATAGTATTGTAGTGTGTTCTACATTACAGGACACAAAACATAAATAGGCAACATGGTATTTTAGTGTAAAAACTAAAGTGATACTGATATAATTATCCATTTACTAATTAATGGTTCATTATTAACCAAAACTCTTAATGTGAGAATTGGGAAGGATAACTGAAATATGAGACCCTTTTGAAAAAATGGAATGTGAAAGGCTTAGAACACTTAATAACCAGAGAAAATATCAAGGTATATTTGAGCTTGACAAAAACTGAAGTCCATAGTTTCTTCCTGCCATTAGGAACACTCAGTTTTCCTTGAAATATTAAATCTCTAACTTCTAGAAGTAAAATAATTTCACTGTAGTCAAAAGATCACAGATATTTTCAGTAGAGACACAATTACTGTCTCTATTACCCCATCCTACCATGAGATTTAATGGAAATATAGTTTGGTGGTTAACTATAATTAATAATTATAGATACACTGTTTCTGCACCAAATTAGAAAATTGAATTAACTCCATCTGACTCATTAGCAAGTATGTAGAGTTTTAAGTATACAATTCATTGACATTAATTAGTCACAGTGTTGTACAGTCATCACCACTATATCTATTTCCAGAATTTTTTCATCACCCAAACCAAAACTCTGTAAGGAAAAGCTCCTATTCCCTTCTCCCAGGCCCTGGTAACCTCAGTCCACTTTCTGTCTCTATGAATGTACCTATTCTAGATATGTCATTTAAGTGGAGTTATATAATACTTGTCATTCTTTGGGCTGGCTTATTGCACTTAGTACTATATTTTAAAGACGCATCCATGTTTTAGCATGTATAAGAATTTTATTCCTTTGATGACTGAATAATATTCCATTGTGTCTGTATACCTTTTATCTATTCATCTGTTGATGAACGTTTGGATTGTTTCTACCATTCTGCTTTTGTGAGTAATGCTGCCATGAACGTTGGCATGCAAAGATCTATTTGAGTTGCTGTTTTCAATTATTTTGTATATACCTAGAGGTGAAGTGGCTGGGTCATATGGTAGTTCCATTTTTTAGCTTTCTGAAGAACTGTCAAGTTGCACCATTTTACATTCCCATGGCCATGCAAGAGAGTATCAATTTCTCCATATCCTCACATACATGTTATTTTCTCTCTTTTTTTTGGATGTGAGTATGAAAGATATTCATTTTTTTAATTGATTTTTTTATTGGCATATCATTGATTTGCAATGTTGTATTAATTTATGCTGTACATCAAAGTGAATCAGCCATGCGTATACATATATCCGTTCTCTTCTAGACTCCTTTCCTGTATAGGTTGTTACAGAACACTGAATAGAGTTCCCTGTGCTATACAGTAGGCTCTTATTAGTTATCTTTGTATGCAGTAGTGTGATTTGCATTTCCTTAATGTCTAATGCGGAGAAGACAATGGCACCCCACTCCAGTATTCTTGCCTGGAAAATCCCATGGATGGAGGCGCCTGATAGGCTGTGGTCCATGGGCTCGCTAAGAGTTGGACTGAGCGACTTCACTTTCACTTTTCACTTTCACACACTGGAGAAGGAAATGGCAACCCACTCCAGTGTTCTTGCCTGGAAAATCCTGGGGATGGGGGAGCCTGGTGGGCTGACGTCTGTGGGGTCACACAGAGTCGGACATGACTGAAGCGACTTAGCAGCAGCAGCAGCAATGTCTAATGATTATGTTCATCTTTCATCTGATTGGCCATTTGCACATCTGAGGGCAAAAGTCTATTCAGTCTTTTGACCATTTTAAAACCGTGTTGCCTTTTTGTTTTTGAGTTGTATTTCTTTATATATTCTTGATGTTAAATCTTTGTCAGATTTATGATTGCAAATATTTTCTGCCTTTCTGTAGATTGTCTTTACTTTCTTGATAATGTTCTTTGATGCACAAGAGTTTTTAATTTAGATGAAGTCCAGTTTATCTATTTTTTCTTTTGTTGCTTAAGTTTTTGATGTCATATATCTAAAAATCCTTACCAGACCCAGGATCATGAAGATTTACTCCTGTGGTTTCTTCTAAGAGTTTTATGATTTTAACACTTTTATTGAAATGGTCATCAATTCATTTTAGGCTAATTTTTTGTTTGAATTAAACTTAATTAAGTTATTTTTTGCATATGATGTGAAGTTGGGATCCTATTTAATTAATTCTTGGGTGTGTGGAAATTTACTTGTCCCAGCACCGTTCGTTGAAGAGATTGTTCTTTCTGCATTGAATGGTCTAGTCATCCTTATAGGAAATCATCTGTACTTAATCATTAACTGTAGCCTTGTAGAAGATTTTGTAATCAGGAAATATGAATCTTCCTTTCAAGATTGATTTGGTTATCTGGGATCTTCTATTTCTTTTTTGAAAGGTGCTTTATTTGGCAATACTTGGTGCATACAGGAGACTGATGTGCAATATATATGTTATGAAGCATAGAAAGTGCATCAATACCATGAACCCACCACCCAGCTGAATAACTGGAACATAATCAATGCATAATAATACAGTACAACCTGAAGTTTCTCTCTTATTTCTTCCCTCCTTCTAAGAGGATAGCACTATTCTGAATTTTTTGTCTTATAAATTCTTTATTTTTCAAAAACTTTTTTTTACCATAAACATGCATGCATGTGTGCTAAGTCACTTTAGTCGTGTCCAACTCTTTGTGACACTATGGACTGTTTTAGTCATGTCCAACTCTTTGTGACGTTATGGACTGTAGCACACGGCTCCTCTGTCCTTGGGATTTTCCAGGCAAGAATACAGAGTGATCCCTCCACGGGATCTTCCTGACCCAGGGATCAAACCTGCATCTCTTATGTCTCCTGCATTGGCAGCTGGGTTCTTTACCACTAGCACCACCTGGGAAGCCCCACCATATTCATATGTATTTCTAAATAATATATTTTGTTCAGCTTTACTTGGTTTTCTGTGACTTACTATTATTACACTCAATTATTATAATGATGACAATAGGAGACATACATTACACTTACTAAGTAACATGTTCTCAACTCTTGTTTCTAAGATTCATTGTGATTTATGCATTTTCACTGTTGTGTACAATTCCATTTATTCCCTCTTCTATGGGTGAATAGTTATTTTGTTTCCAGCTTTTTGTTATTATGAACATTCTGTTTTGTTTTGTTTTTCCCCAGCCCCTGTCCCTTTCAGAACTTTGACATTTCTGTTTTCCTAAGCCCTTATATCAGGAGTCACAGTGCCTGTAGGGAGAAACAGGGTTTATGTGAGTAAAGAGGACTGGTATAAACCAGAGAGAGTAGTGGGGCCTGGTGAATTGGAGAATACAGGACCTAGCTCGGCTCAAGTGGATTGTTGTTGCCACGTGGGAATGCAGACGTATACTTCCAGAGCATCTAAATATCCCAAACTGGAAGTCTGGATTTTTAAAAAAATTTAAAATACCCTACTATTTAAATAGCCTCTAACTTAAATGATAAAAATGACTGAAAGGCTAAACAAAATGGTTTCTAGGTGCAACCCTTAGACCTCCAACTTGCCACCTCTGCCTTGTCCTTGTTGAGTTCAGTGAGCTCTGCTTTAGCACTGTTTTCCTCCCTCTAAGGTCTTTTAAGGCGCTTCCTTTCATGTTAACACCCTGTTGCTCCTATTTTTCATCTGACTTCTCTTTAGCTCCATTCTTCTGAAATAGGAACCAGAATTTGAATTCCTCTTGCTAAATCTCTTTGACCATCTGTGATATCATTTCCTTCTTATGTTTTTTTGTGTTTGCTTCTTTAGTGTGAATGTAATTTAGGCTGACTGAGGGACTTATATGGATTTTATTTCCAAATTAAGATTGTTGTCTTTGTTTACAACATAATGAAACAATAACAGCCATTACCAGATATTAAGAACTCTTGATATTCTGTTTTCTTCTAAAAGAAAAAGAAGTCATTTTCTCTGATTGTAGATGGACACACAAGCAGAAAACAATGACTGAAGTAAATTAAAAATCTTAGATGAAAGAATTATGTACTAGAAATAGACATCTCTCTAAGGTTGAAGATACAGCTTTTTTTTTTTTTTTTTTTAAAGAAGATAGCTTTTAAAACCAAGAGAGGAATTCCCTAGCAGACCAGTGGTGGTGGTGGTGGTGGTTCAGTCGCTCTGTTGTGTTTGACTCTTTGCAACCCTCCATGGACTGTAGCATGCCAGATCCCCCTGTCCCTCACCATCTCCTGAAGTTTGCCCAATTTCATGACCATTGCATCGGTGATTCAATCCAGTCTTCTCATCCTCTGATACCCTCTTCTCCTGCCCTCAATCTTTCCCAGCATCAGTGACTTCTCCAGTGAGTCAGCTGTTCGCATCAGGTGGCCAAAATACTGAAGCTTTAGCTTTAGCATCAGTCCTTCCAATGAGTATTTAAGGTTGATTTCCCTTAAGATTGACTGGTTTGGTCTCCTTGCTATCCAAAGGACTCTCAGAAGTCTTCTTCAGCACCACAGTTCAAAGGCATCAATTCTTTGGTTCTCTGCCTTGTTTACAGTCCAGCTCTCACATCCATACATGACCACGGCAAAAGACCATAGCCTTGACTATACGGACCTTTGCTGGCAGAGTAATGTCTCTGCTTTTCAACACACTGTCTAGGTTTGTCATAGCTTTCCTGCTGAGAAGCAGTCATCTTCTGATTTCAGTCACCATCCGCAGTGATTTTGGAGCCCAAGAAGAGGAAATCTGTCACTACTTCCACCTTTTCACCTTCTATTTGTC